TTAAAGTTGTGTACCTGGCTTGTAAAAATAAAATGAAATATAATTTAGACTTTAAATGACACCGTAATATAGATTACTTGCTCAATAGAAATGTATTTGTTGGTTGGGATGTGCCTTATTGATACAGATCTATACTGTTATGGATAGTTCAGTGCCCAGATTCAATATCCAGCACCTCAAAGTAAGTAATTAAACAAGTAAAGATTAAGTAAGTATATTTGCTGCCAGTAGCCTACATTCATAGGGAACTGGCATTTTTTCCCTTTTGACTCAGATAGAGCAGTAACCATCATTCTCTTTCTCCTGAAAAACAGACTCCACAGTAGTCATAGGACATTACCCTGTGTAGTAGCTACACATCCATACTGCCCAACTTCTTTTGCTGTTATCTTAGCCAAGGGAATATATTATTGATAAGGTGAAAAAAGAAAGTACCAGATGGAACTTCTTGGAATTCATTTAAAAAATGCTCACATTTATACCTTCTTCCTGCTCTTCCTAGAGTTAACACTCACTCAGCAACTGATGTTCAAGTAGTCCTCTAGATTAATGAGGTATACTGGTGGGGCACCAAACCAAGGGCCTGTGTCTCCATGGAGTCAGGTTAGCCTGGAATGTCTATCTTTAGAAAGAGCAACCAAGCACTGAACATGCAGAGAACTAGAACCTCTTTAAGTTATAATTTCTTTTAATATTGTGCATGCAATGAAACTCACTTTTACTATTCAACATATCTGCCAACATAAGGTGTGTGTGTTAAATGATTATATCATTGCATCTAAGACACACAGGTAATGTCTCTTTTAATAGGTAAGGAAAGAAAGGTTGGGAGGTCTCACATAACTGATCCTAAGACATCGAAGTAGCAAGCAGGCAAGTTGCAAATTCCTGTTTACATTCCAAACTTACACTCTTTCCCAAGACATCATTGTATATTGTGCAGGGTAAATCTCTCCTTGGGTGCCTTGGATAATCCCTTAATCTTTTTTATCCCCATTTAAAATTAAGGTTATAGACCTCTGTTTAGGATGTATACTGCTGTGAGGACAAGTAGGCTTACCATTGTGCAAAGAACTGGAGCCCTTAGAAAAGAACTAATCTATGACTCACACAGTCAAAAGAATGACTAACCTAAGAGGCCTTAACTTATATAGTTATATTGGAGGTCTTAACTTACAGAGTAGCCAAAACTAAGTATTTTGACCACAAAGTGTACTTGTTTAAGCCTATTTCCAAAATCCAACACTAAGTCAGTCAGTCACATCCTCCTTCTGTTTAACTTGTTTGGCTGTGTCAAGACACAGTTACTTTGGAGTTTCTATTGTTCATTTGAATTTGTATCTTTTTAATTTTTTTTTATTTAAGACCTTTAATAACAAGTGCTTGCAGTTTGTTGACTTTTTTTTAAAAAAAAATCAAGTTGTAAGCTTTTATTACAAATTAAGTGTGAAGTTCTTAAAAATATCAAATTGACCAGATATGAAACAATTTAAAAACCATTAAAGGTGTATTGTGAAAAAGCAGACCTTTGAAAAAAAAAAAAAAAAACACGTTTGTCATTACCAAAAAGAGACATTTTGAGGCAAAAATAATAAAAACCTCATGCTGCATAGACAATGCAAATAGTTCTAGTGTATCTGGTCAAAAGGCAAAAACAAGCACTTAAGGTCTTCAGCTCCAATCTTTGTTCATTTCTTATTGCTTGAATTTCATATTCATTTCTTCTTGTTGGATGACCAAACCAGATGATGACAGAGATGGTAAGCCGGCATTTCCTCAGCCCCACTCTGGTCAGCCTCAGCTGGTGGATCTGCAGCTTTTGTCTCTTTGCCATCTTGTGGTTTAGGGTTCTCTGGGCATCTGTTCTGGTAATTGAAGTTGCAGTGATACCAACGTTGAGGTGGCTTCTGACCCTGGGTCTCATCTCCTTGATTTTCCTTGTCCTCTTCATTGCCATCCTCTCTATACTGTCTTTGGCAAGGAGGGCCCCTGCGGAATCGTGGTCTGTAACCCCGATACATATTCTGTCTCACTGGTATATGTTCTTCTCCTGTACTCTGGTTGTCAGCATGCTCTATGACTTCTGCTTGAACAGGAAGGTTGGAATACTGCAGTCGAGACGGCCATAGGGTCTCTGCAAGTAGTAAGGTGGGAACCTTCACCTGCGATAGGACCAGCATTGTTGGGTTTGGCCTTCAGGACCACTTTCTGATCCCTCATTCTTTTTCCCACTCTCACTATTTTGGTAATTGCTTGGAGGACCCCTTCGACGTGGATAGCTTCTATAATGGTTACGGGCTGCTGCACGTTTACTGCCTTGAACTGGAACTCCACCCAGGCCTATAACATTTGCTGCCCTTGTACCCTTTTCTCCTTCAACAACATCAAACTCCACAGTCTCTCCATCTCCTACACTAGCAAGATAGTTCCTGGGGTTATTCTTCTTTATGGCAGTCTGGTGTACAAATGAGTCTTTCTTGGTGCCATTCCTGTTGGTGAGCCCGTAACCATTCCTTACATTGAACCGTTTTACTGTTCCCCAAACCTTCCTTGCTATGAACTTCTTGTCCTCGCCGGAAGTTTGCTGCCTATGTGAGGCTGCCAGGGCAGCAACTACCTGCTCTGCTGCTGCAGCAGCGCGGAGAGGGCAGAAGCAGGGGAGGCAGCCTGGGCAGTGTGAAGGTTGCTGGGCCTAGATGCTCATGGTTGGGGTTGTGGTGACTGCCGGCTGGCGATGGCTGTGGCTCCTCCCCGGGTGTGATGATGACTAAGCCTGGGACCGTGGTGGGGGCTCTCAGAGCTCTCTGGGGTCTGCCCTGAATTTGTATCTTAATAAAGATGTCTCCTATTATATAAAGGAGCAATTGTGGCACGTGCGGCTTTATGGATTCTTATGAAAATACCTCCAGACCTGTAATATAAAAGCTGTTCGTTTGTAGTAAGGCTCTGTGTAATTTAAGAAAAGGAAATCCATGGACTGTGGCAGAAGATTTTACTGCTTGTTCAATGTCCTCTCACTTCCCAAAATAATGTTTGTAGTTCTATGATTGAAAAAGCCTGATACCACCCCCACGATGCTAGACTCCTGCACAAAAGCTGGCACTGAAGTATCTCAGAAGTTATACTCAAGGCTCTCATTAGCTGGAAGCATGTTCAAAAGTGGATCAGTTGTGTAGAGTTCTGTGTGAAGTTTCCTATCTTTGCTTATTCCATCACCACAAATGTAAGCCCTCAACCTAAAATACCAACATAGGTCCCATTGGCTAAAATTGAGGTGACAGGGTTACATTCCTTCTAACGACCCTAGAGTCATGTGTGCTTACCCACACTGTCAGGGCTGGAAACCTGTTCCCTGGCACGATGGAGACAGGCACTCTGTCTGTTGTACCTTCCAGTCTTTTAAGCATCAACCCACTGCAAGGTCCATTGTTGCTTTCCTCTGACCCGTTTCCTTGATGACCACCTTTCTCAAACTGTCCTTGTGCCTTTCTCTTCCTCTCTTATTTAATTTCAAAAGCCCAGGTGATTTGTTTGCTTGTACTTATGTTAGTTTTGCAGTTTAATCTCTCTATTTTAAAATTGACAAATCAGGGCTGGCAACATAGTTCAATGAGTAAAGGTTACTGCCACCAAGCTTGACAGTATGAGTTTAATCACCAGAAGTTACATGATGGAAAGAGAGAAGTGATTGCCACAGGATCAGAGTAGTACATATGAGCTCTCTCTATCTCTCTCTCCTTTCAGACTTGTATATACACTTGCATACAAGTAAATGAATAAATAAATGTAAAAAAGAAACCTTGTCCAACTGGCAACCTTAATTTGTTATTTTAATTTCATTTTGTCACTTGTATAGGTAAATCTTCTTGTCAACCTGACAGAATCTAGAATCAACTGAAAGGCAGTGTCAGGGCATGTCTTTGAGGGAGTTCCTAGGTTGGGTTGAGATGGGAAGACCCATTCTAAATGTGAGAGGTACTATTTCATGGGCTGGGATCTTGGAGCCTCCAAAAAGGAGAAAAGATGCCGAAAAGTCTATTTGCTTCCTGACTGTGAACACAATGTGAACAGCTGCTGTAGCTACCATGAAGTCCTCTCTATGATGGACTGTAGCCTCTCACCTCAAACTGCAAGCCAAAATAAACCCTCTTGTCTTAAGATGATTTTTGAGCCACAAGAAATGTAACTAATACATCACTTAACACAACAAAGCCAAAGGTTTCCAGGGCAAAGGCATGAGCCCTCTGGGCCTATTTCTCAGCCATCACAAGTTTACTTCTAGGAAGAAGTAAACATTTAGTCAATAGTAATAGCAGCCACCATACATGCTTACTCTCTGGCAGGAATTGATCAGCAAGCTTTATGTGTGTTCATGCATTTCATCTCCATAACAAGCTTCTCAACATGAGGGAATAACTGCTACCATCATCCCCTTAACAAAGATATAAGGCATGGAGTTTTAGGGATACTTCAGAGAGCTAGTAAAACGTGGAGTGAAGACATGAACCCAGATAGAACAGGTTCAGAATCCAAGTATTTAATTAAGTCTCCTTCTGTTCCTTCATTCCAATATTATAATGAGAAAATGCAGAAAACCTTTGCTTAAATTAAATTCAGGAATAGCTAAATTATCCCAAAGTAGAAGGCACCAATATGTTCATTTCCCTTCAAGGGTCATTTTACCATCTTCTCTTTTGTCTTGGGATATAGTCTCACATATGGGCTCTGAAATCTGTAATCCTTCTGGATGGTGTCCCCAGAGGCCCACAGAAAACTGTCCTTGCCAAAGCAAAACATTTTAGGAGGAGAAAGATTGACCAGGTTTGAAAACTCTATTGATAGTTTAATGAGAGTATTAATGACAAAACAAACAGTGTTCTGTTTTGTAAACACATTACATTCTCCTGTATGCTGAAGTATTACATTCTATACTGAAAACCTACTTTGCTGGCAGACACAGGAGAGAAGAAGGCAAACCAGTGTACTAGAGGATGGAATACCTTGACTGCTCTCGCACCATCGTGTCTCCCTTCTTCCAGAAAGAAAGTGCCCTTGGAGAGGCTCTGGGTTTGCAATCCAAGATCACCAGGCTGCCCACTTGCACTTGAACCAATTTTTTCATAGGGTTCCTTGAAAAATCTGGAGCAGAAGCTAAAGGGAGAAATGGATTAATAAGAAAGATATTTTCTTTTTGTATAAATTTTTATTTAAATAAAAATCAATCTTATTTTACATTCCAATGCCAGTTCCTTCTCCCTACCATCATCCCCTGCACCCCACCAAGCCCCCATCCCACCCCTCATCCACTCAACAGATAGGGTGAGGCCTTCTATGGGGGACCATCAAAGTCTGTCACATCATTTGGGGCAGGGCCTAGGTCCTTAAGCCTTGGGGAACAAAATAGAAGAGTATGGGAGAAATATTGCAAGAGCTAGAGGACCAGGAATTCTCCTGTGAGTTTGCGCCTTCTAGCTTGACAAGGAAGCTGATTCTTGAAGTCCTGGCAATATGACTGCTTAAATAAGACCTTAACAATTCCAACAACAGTTAACTTCCCATTACAAATGGGGAAATCTCATGAGGCCCCATTCCCAGATGAAGAGCAATTAACAAGGATAAGCCCTATGGTTGGTTGTATACTACTGAGTGGTCAGTCTTAGAAACACATACATGCAAGCAACACAGAACAGACTCAGCAGGTTGTATTCATGTGTTTACTTGTTTATATGTATATGTCACAACAATAATTAAAGAAGAGGAAACTGAATTTTGAAGGGAGCTTGGGCCAGGAAAGCACATTGGTGGCTAGAAAGGAGGAGAGGGAAAAGATGTAATTATCATTTAATTAAATAAAAAGAGATGTCATTCTGAGATGGCCTTGTCAATTAAAATCCTGTGAAAATAGTTTTAGTAAGACAACAGGAATCTATATTTTGAGTATTTTTTAATTGTCACATCTTCTACTTTCCCATATGACAGCCCCGCACTGTAAAAGGCAGAAAACTATTTTGCTGAAACAGCAATTAGACTATGTCTCTGCAGGTTTTCATACTACAGAAGCAAGTGCTTCAACTTCCATCTCTGAGTGATCCTCTCCTGCTTTTGTTATAATGTAATATTTCTTGACACAGATAACAGGAGGCGGATTTTCACTGACTGTCCTGTAGTCATCCTGATACACATGAGCCATTCCCAACCTTCAGGCGCCAGAGACAAGAGATATCTTCTCCATTAGTCTTGAGTTCCTCATCATATCTTGGCACTTGGTACTCACTGCATAAGCATTTGTTGTGAGTGACTCTCACACATTATATAATATTTGGCAACCTCTCTATCTTCTACCATGTTGGCTATAGCACATAGGACTTCCAACCTTTCCGCAGTAAAACAACAAAAACTACCCTCAAATATTTCAAAGTATGCCCCAGTGTGAAACCCTTCTTACACTGAGAGCCACTGATTTAGATAAAAAGTGCCTCATATACTTCATGCCATTTGCACCAGGTCAGTAATCGGCAACGACACAAATAATGGTTCATGCGGCCAAGGATGTAGTAGTGACACTTGCATTTAAGCAAAGAAGAAAGTCATGCTTCCCTCACTGAATTCAGAACTCAAGAGAACTGGGAGGTATTCCATAGAAATGAGATAATTGTGATCCTTGAATCCTGGTTCAAGTTATGCCCAAATCTAAACTTTCCATCTTAATTTCTTGAAACAATGAGTCCTTTTCTACTTCTCCATCTTCCTCTTTTCCTTCTGTATTTCTGCGATGCTGTTAAGTTACCATTGTATTTTCAGTTTTTGCCATGCCAGTGTCTTTGTATCAATAACCTAAACACTACAAAACTCTTTCCTCAGACCTAAAGTGCAGGAAGAAGTAACAAGTCATAATCTCAAATGAATAGTGGTTAATTACACCTTCAGTACACTCCATACTTGGTCCTCCATTGGGTTCATGAAGACAAAAACTGCTTCTGAATCAAATATCACTGATTTCAACTCTGTTGTTTGCTTTTTGTGGACCAGCAATAGAGAACACCATAATCCTTGTAAGAAGCATTTCTTAGTTTAGGACACCGTGGCTGGGTAATGGTCCATTAAATGTGAAGAATCTTCTTACTCCTGGTTTAATTCAATCCTGGAACCTAATTCTGATCACCATGGCTGCTTTTCTTTGACATCATTTAAAATACATTTTTTAGAGACCAGGTCTTACTCTTATCCCAGGCTGATTGGTCATATGCCTGGCACTCTCTATTTTACTCCGCCTGACATCAACGCTGTGGCAATCCTCCTGCCTTCATCTCCTAGTTCCTGAGACTCTAGTGTGTTCTCTCATTACAAACCTTCAATATAAAATGATAGTGTGGATACTATTAGGTGTTAGAGTAGGACATAAAAAGACAATATTATAGGTTCTGGCAACAGTGGAAGATTAAAGGAAAAAAATCAAGTTTAAAGACATAAAAAATTTAGACTTACCTACAACTTTGAGCTCAGCACTGGAGTAAATGAGTCCATGCTTGTTTTCTGCTATACATTGGAACATTCCAGAGTCAGTCACATTGAGGTTGGATATTGTAAGGGCACCATTTTCTATCTGTATTCTCTCCTGGATTGAAAATAATATTTCTTGCTGATAAATAACATTTTAGGATTAAAATAAACACTGCTGCCTGAAATTTCAGTCAGACAAAAGATGTTGCTATTTTCCTCAGACTACTAGGTATTCTGACCTGAAAGGTAACCTTTTTCTTTTTTGAAATGGAAAAATGTGTTTCAGATACACAAGTAAAAATCAGAAAATAATTATCAAAACCAAAGGTGAAGTGTGTCAGCCATTTCATTTTTGTCTATGTTTAATGATTCAGACTATAAAAAATGCACTGGGATGTTGATTTTCATCTTGGGAGGTGGAAAGATTTTTCAACACAATATTTTTTTAAAGTCATGTAAGCTTAAGGCATTATAAATTCAGTGCACTAGACAGAGTGCTAAGGGAGTGCGAGGAAACCCACATACTTACCAGGGTTTTTTCCAAGTATGATGGTTATACATAGAAACATAAAGGCATGTAATTGACTTTGTACACACAAACACACAAAAAAGCAGAAATTACAAGGCTGGGGAGAGAAAGTGAATGAGAAAATAAATACACAATTCAACTACGAAGGTAGCCAACTAACAGATGTATTTACTCTCTAGATACCAGACCAAGGTACAAAACAGGGAAAGGAAAATTAAATTTCATGTTTGATTAAAGTAAAACTTTCTCTCCATTTTGATTAAAGCAAAACAGGTATGCCAAATTATTGTTTATATTAATATACTTTTTCAGTGCCAAAATCATCAATATGCCTTGACTTGCAAAGGATAAGAAATCTAAACAATTGGATGATTGATTTTGTATGATTCCCCTATGTTGTGATTTACATGTAAAATGTCTCCCTGAAGACTCTTGTGTTTGAACATGAGAAGGCTATGAAACTGGAAACCCTGGCTTTCCCAGGACAAGTGGGATGTGTGTGGGGGAGTAGTACTTGAAGGTGATATCTGCCTAGGTCCTAGCCATAGCCATAATTCCTCCTGCCTTAATCTCCCATCACACCTTCCTCATCATGATGGACTGAAACTGTATACTAAAATAAATCATTTCCTACTTTAATTGCTTCTATAGAAACCCTGTTCTTTGACACTAGGATCTAACATGCCTTGTTTTATATGTATTAAATTGTATGGATATCCATGCAGGTGTGTTCAAGGAAGCAGAGGACAACCTTGGGTATCTTGCCTTAGAGATAGTCTACCCCTTTTCCTTTTCTGTGAGACAGTGTCTTTAGCTGGAGGATACACATGTGCTTCTATCTACCTAGCCCCAGGATCCACAAGCATTAACCCTCATACTCAGCATTGTTCTTAGCATGGGCGCTGAGGATTGAACTCAGGTCCCTGGAAAAACATGCAGTTTACCCACCAAGCCTTCTCCTGAGTCCCAGTTTCTAGAGGCTAAAGGAAGAATACATTAAAAAGGCAGGAAGAGTTGGATGAAGAAGATATATTACCTTACCTCTAGTACTAAGGCATCTCCATTTTTCAGCCATCGGTAGGAGGGTTTGGGTTTCCCACTTGCCCTGCATTCCCAATAAAGACTGTCCTCCACAGCTATTTCCACGTCTCTTATAAGTTGAACCCAATGAGGTTTTGCTATAACCAAGGAACATAGATAATAGAAAGACAAGAGATTCAAATCATATAGTAAATAAAAAATGGCTTATAAATGAGTGTCAGATACAAGCTGTGATTAACATGGGCTAGACTAGAATAATATTTAGTTCATTTAATGGCTATATAAAACATCTCTAGATTTGATGATGATGTTGAAATGTGTTGTATCTTAAGCCAACTTCATTGTGCTTTCTGTATTTTTAAAATCCTGATTCAGGTATAGAAAATTACATTCCTCAAGTAAATTCTTGAATCATAAGATTATATCTCATGACAACTTCAAAATGAAAGACAGCTTCTATTGGCCTTAATGATGAACTAAATATTAATATCCATAGGAAAGAAATATCTATGACAAAGAAAAATATTTACTCCAAGTTGGAAATACCTCTGAATTAAATACAAAGCAATGAACAACTCATACAACTGTTTGTGCATTAAAATGAAAGCACCAAAAGATGGATAAGTGGCCATAATATGAATTGAGATCATCTATCAGAAAAAAGATGTAACTGAAACAACTTCAAATCATGTGTGCAAATCAGTTGGATCAAGTAAATTAATTAATTCCACTTATGTTTTGCAAGGCACCTGGAAACTGCTATTTTTGCAGATTAAAGTGACATACCACTTCAAATGGAAGCCACTCAACACACACAGTATATTAAGCCAAGTCTCAGCTTGTGTTTCAGATCCAAACCTGGGAGGTGAGATCTCTTAGCGGTTTCACATTGAATTATGCATGTGATGTGTGCCAGGGATCTGCATTTGCATCCTCCATATGGAGTGGCAGTTTATCTATTTCTGTTTAATTGTAACCACAGGAAGATTTGTCTTTCCTTTCTGTCTCCTAAAATTGTCTTTTTTTCACCACATAAAATTGAAAGGATCCTTAGCTCTTTTGTTTTTGTTGCTGAATAAAAATTGTGTTTTTTTTCTATATGAAACACAGTTAACGCAAAATGACTCCTCCTACTTTATACTAAAACTTCTTTTCCAATTTCAGAATTTCTCAGACCCACATGGAAGGGGAATACAGCTAGATTTGCACAAAAACCATTGACTAAGGCTGGAATATCCAGTGGGAATCTTCTTGGGTAATTCTGATATTCTAATCATCTTCTTCTTGAATAGAAGAATGAGTTGGTGTTCCAAACCAACTCTGAGATTAGAGCTGCCACATTCATAATGACTTTTCTCCCTTAGTCATATCTGAATGAGGTCACTTCCTACTCATCACAGGAGAAATCCATCAGGATGAAGTCTCAATTCTGAACATCTATGTCCCAAATACAAAGGCATCCACATTTGTAAAAGAAACATTACTAAAACTCAAATCACACATAAAACCTCACACACTTGTAGTAGGAGACTTCAACACCAACTCTTGCCACTAGACAGGAGCACCAGACAGAAAGTTAACAAAGAAACTAATAGTAGTCATGGCCCAATTGGGTTTAACATATCTATAGTACTTTCCATCCAAATACAAAAGAATATACCTTCTTCTCAGCACCACATGGAACCTTCTCTAAAATCAACAACATACTTGGCAACATAGAAAACCTCAACAGGTACAAAAAAATTAAAATAACCTCCTGTATCTTATCAGACCACCATGCTTTAAAGTTAGAATTCAACAACAACAACAATTGCAGAAAACCTAAAAACTCATGGAAACTGAATAATGCCCAATTGCACCACTCCTGGGTCGAGGAGGAAATAAAAAAGAAGTCAAAGATTTCCTAAAATGCAATGAGAATGAGGACACAACATATCCAAACTTATGGGACACTTTGAAAGCAGTGCTAAGAGGGAAGTCCATAGCACTAAGTTCCCACATGAAGAAACTGGAGAATAGGCACATGAGAGAATTGACAGAATAACTGAAAGCTCTAGAACACAAAGAAGCCAACACACCCCAGAGGAGTAGATGCCAGGAAATAATCAAATTCAGGGCTGAAATCAATAACATAGAAACTAGGAAAACAATATAAATAATTAATATAATGAAGAATTGGTTCTTCGAGAAAATCAACAAGATAGACAAAACTTTATCCAAAATTACTAAAGGCAAAGAGTGAACATGCAAATTAATAAAATCAGAAGTGAAAAGGAGGACATAACAACAGACACTGAGGAAACCCAAAGAATCATCAGGTTATACTTTGAAAACCTGTATTCCTCAAAATTTGAAAATCTGAAGGAAATGGACAAATTTCTGTATAGATTTCACTTACCAAAATTAAATCAATATCAGATCAGCAATTTAAACTGATCTATAACACCTTATTAAATAGAAGCACTCATCAGAAGTCTCCCAACCAAAAAAAAAAAAAAAAAAAAAAAAAAAAAAAAAAAAAAAAAAAAGCCCAGGGACAGATGGCTTCAGTACAGAATTCTACAAGAAATTGGAGGAACAGATAATATCAATTCAGAAGGGTCATTGCCAAACTCTTTTTATGAGGCTTCAATAACCTTGGTACCCAAGCCACACAAAGACACAACTCAGAAAGAGAACCACAGACCAATATCCCTCAAGAACATTGATGCAAAAATACTGAATAAAATACTGGCATTTCGAATTCAAGAATACATCAGAGAAATCATCGACCATGCTCAAGTAGGATTCATCTCAGGGATGCAAGGATGGTTCAACATATGAAAATCCATCAATGTAATCCACTATATAAACAGACTGAAAAAAGAAAAACACACATGATCATCTCACTAGATGCTGAAAAAGCCTTTGACAAAATCCAACACCCCTTCATGATAAAGGTCTTGGAGAGATCAGGGATAACAGGAACATACCTAAACATAATAAAGGCAATATATAGTAAACCAACAGCCAACATCAAAGTAAATGGAGAGAAAAATCTACATGATTCCCCTAAAATCAGGAACAAGACAAGTCTGTCCACTCTCTCCATACCTCTTCAATATTGTCATTGAAGTTCTAGCTAGACCAATAGCTAGAAAACAAAAGGAGATCAAAGGGATACAAATTGGAAAGAAAGAAGTCAAACTTTCACTATTTGTAGATGATAAGATAGTCTACATAAGTGACCCGAAAAACTCTACCAGTGAACTCCTACAGCTGATAAACACCTTCAGCAAAGTGGCAGGACACAAGATTAACTCAAAAATACCAGTAGCCCTACTATATACAGATGATAAATGTGCTAAGAAAGAAATTAGAGAAACAATACCCTTTACAATTACCACAAATAACATAAAATACCTTGGCATAATGCTAACCAAAAAAGTGAAAGACCTGTTATCATAAGAACTATGAATCTTTAAAGAAAGAAATTAAAGAAGATTCCAGAAAATGGAATGATCTCCCATGTTCTTGGATAGGTAGATTTAACATAGTAAAAATGGAAATCTTGTCAAAAGCAGTCTACAGATTCAATGCAATCACAATCAAAATCCCAGCACAATTCTTCACAGATATTAAAAGAATAATTCTCA